GGCCTTTGCAGGCGACACCCCTCGGGCAATTGCAACACACCAATAACAGAACAGTGGCCACTGCTGCCTGAAGCAGCAACTCAGGTTTCTGTACACAATAAACCCCTCATTCTGGTGACTCTTGTCCTTTAACTTCCAACCTGGGATTCGACCTGATTATTGTAGTGATCCGATTACAACCACGGCTTAAACCCCTACATATCCATCCTTTTTAATAAAGTGTTTTCTTTCCCTTCAGGCTGATTACAGTGACTCATCTGTGACTGGGTATAACTTTTGGGTACGAAGTATCGAAACATAGGCACAGTTCATAGGTTTGATCACTGGACACTGATGGTGCCTTAAGAAGCCTTTGCCATGGCCTTTGTTTTGGAGCGGAAAACTTGCATCCACGTGCGTGCAGCACTTTTCTTGCATAGCAGGTCAACAAAAAGACTCGCATCACATCTGTACGAGACATTCCAAACCGGTGGACACGACGGAAACCTGAGAGCTAATGAGTAATTGGACCTACCGCAGTGATTATGCTATCAGCTTTCTCAGGTTTGTGCATTGGGCAGACGGCAACCTGGTAACATCTGCGCCCGAGACCTCCTAGCTTGTCAAGAGACAGACAAGCGCCAGGGAGCGCCTGATAATGCGACACGCAAATTGTCACTGGAGCGCCGCTAATGGTCCCGGAAATGCAGCTGTAGTCGTGTCGTTGACTTAATTAATCACCCAGTGTACGGTGGCCACCTGCACCAAAAGCCGACCAGAGACCGAGAAAGAAGACATCAATTTCAGTATAAATTGCAGGACTGTAACCCTACTTTCTGCAGTTTATGATGTTGGTGTTCTTTTTTGTAATCGCAAACTCCTGATAAATAAGCCCAATTTTTGCCTGTCCGAATTCTCGCCCGCTTTTGAATGGCCTCATAACATACAACGAATTACCTCACATATAGGCAGATAGTATTGTCGGACAAAGATAAAGTCAAATGCCCTAACCATTGAGCCAAGAGTTCGTTGTCTTGGCGGTTTTGGCTCAGGAATATTGACGCTCGCGTTTGACTCTGATCAAAGAAGTCACAAGCTTGAGGCTCGGGTGGGACGCCACTTGGGTCTGGGTATGACTGCCTGACGACGGCTAATAAGCCATAAAAGGCCCATTCCAGTCTCCCTTGTCTTTGCAGGCAATACTATCTGCCTTTACTACCAGCTGCCTCGGCTCTCAGGGACTCTGTCGAGGCCCTAGGCATAGTGGAACAAATGAGTTTCTTTTGCGGCCGGGTGAACATTCATCAACAATTACGCCAAACAATTAGACTACTCTTCAACGACTGGGTCTTTAAGCGCACTGCTAGAACTCTGCGTCCGTTTTTCAAGATATTCTTGTGTTTTATATGATTACTTTTTAAGTTTATTCTCACGTGTACTGTTATTCGAATGGAAATTTTACAAAGTCTTGACAATGACTTATGCCTCGTGGCCCCCTGTCTCTTCGAACTATCCCTACCTTTTGCCTGCGGAAAGACGATTTCTCCATGCACTAAGACCATTCATAGGTCAGAACTCCAGTCGTAGTTTAGGACATGGTCCAGCGTTCAGTAAGAGACGTTTCAACAAGAGGGACGGAAGGCGTCTAACCAGTTCCGAAATATTTCCTCATCTTATTCCCTAGAAACGAAGTGTTTTCCGAATATACACGAAACAGCTATCAAACAACTCTCTGAACTAACGAACCGGAGCTCATACAACTGTGAAATGAACAAGTTTCTTGCGAAATCCTCGAGCGTTTGCAAAAGACTTTTCTCCAGCGATCTGATGTTTAATGAGCATACTCGCAAATTATATGTAAGCAGTCTGAATACACGGGTAATTCAATAGAACGCACTTCGCGCATAGAGCAGAGCTCACTCACAAGTGCGGCCACCACCTCGCGAACGAGCTTGAATTCTTGTTGTCAAGTACTTTCTTATTTTCTTTTGTTACGTAATTTAAAGGTTGAAGGCGTATCTGTTCTTCATCAATTTCATCTGCAACGCTTAGGATTTGCGGGTGTCCGACGACCTTCAATATGAGATAAACTACCGAAGTTTACATTAAAGAGGTTAGACATGATTGGCACGACTGTCCGAGTGCTTAGGAGAACACACCTCGCATTAAACCTAAGGCCTGCAAGGGAGCCTGGCTAGCTTCAGCATGAAATCAGCCATTTAACTGTCTGTCCTTTCGCACAGTTTACTTCTCAGTTTACCAGCATTATTTTTATCATGTCATTTATTCGCAGCCCTAACGCCTTTAGTAAGGAGTAGAATAATCAATGAGAACTTACATTTCTCCCTTTAGCGGCCTCGCCAGGTCCCGGCATGTTGAACTCCTCACGAGTGAATTCACCGGTACCGAGGTCGGTAAAGTCAGTCGACAATATGGCCTTGCCCGGTCAACCCCCAATTTCGCTGGATCACTTGGCTGTCCACGTGACCAACCTCAAGTCCTTTGACAACAATGGTCTCTACAAGGAGTACGAGGCTATCGATCCGGGCTCCGGTTACACCTGGCAGAATGCGAATCTGGACCTGAATAAACCGAAGAATCGTTATGCAAATGTGATTGCCTACGATCACAGCAGGGTTCTTCTGCGGCAGCTTCCAGGCATTGTCTGTTCCGACTACATCAATGCGAACTACATTGACGGCTACCAACGCCAGAATGCCTATATTGCTACTCAGGTAAGCAGAATTCCGCGGGATTTATGTGTTTGCATTCTAATCCATGAATATAAGAAAGTGTGCCCAAAAATCTCCTGATTATTTAAATTATAAAGTGTTGAGCATACGTTTGCTTTAAGCAAATCATTTTCAAACCTATACAGTTAAATCGTTAATATTTAAATAGAATGTGCAGGTTCGTAGAATATATCGCCAAACCTTCG